CACTCAGCAGTATAACTGTCCCTCCTAATAGACTCCTCCCTTTGCATTTTATGAGAAACAATCAGATTCCAGGCACATCCTTTTATTCTGGCACAACCAAATCCTGACCTTACTTTAAGTTATGATAAGAGGAAGCTGCGTATTAAATTCTGTGGTCCTAGTTCTTGCTTTTTAGGAGGAATTCTTGAGAGAACAGCCTCACAGATAGACGGACAGACACACAGACAGATGCATAAACCCTTTCAAATATATAGTAGAGCAGTATAAACAAGTCATTGTGTGAAATTTTACTTTGCACTGACTTTGCTGGTGTTTTTTCTTCAGTTTTTATGTGGTTTATCAAAAGTAAATAATTGTTATCCGGAGTCAGGGAGGGGAGAGTAACCACTATGCGTATCTCTTTTTCATTGATAAAGAGGGTGAACTTATAAGCTTTCTCTCTGTAAAATGTATTTATTAGGGTTTTGATCTTGTTTGAGGCTGTCTTCCTGGGTGTTATCAATGACTTTACAGCTGAGCCCTCCCAGAGCTGAGCCAGTTAAGCATCTGTGTTGTTTTTTTGGGGTACGATAACCCCAACTCTGTGCCTTGGCTGGGGGAGACCAGAGAGTCTGGCCTAGCTGGACAGGGTGGAGGGGAGCTGCAGAAAGCAGGGGGTCGGTCTCAGTGGCATGACCAGCACACTGGGTGACAACCCCACAGGGACCCCTGTAATCCAACCCATCTGTGATGGGGTGGCCCCGCCCTGCACTCAAGCCCAGGGAAACCACCTGGCGCAGGGGGCGGAGAGGGCCCCACCCACACTGCCCTACTGGGCATGCTCCCAGGGGAGCAAAGGTACAAAATGCTGCAGGCCTGCTCAGAAGTGTCAGACCATGGCCAAAGCTGGAACAACCCCACAGGGACCCCTGTAATCCAACCCATCTGTGATGGGGTGGCCCCGCCCTGCACTCAAGCCCAGGGAAACCACCTGGCGCAGGGGGCGGAGAGGGCCCCACCCACACTGCCCTACTGGGCATGCTCCCAGGGGAGCAAAGGTACAAAATGCTGCAGGCCTGCTCAGAAGTGTCAGACCATGGCCAAAGCTGGAGCTAGCGCCCAAATGCCTGAGTTGCAGACCGGACCGCCAGAGAAGGAGCGACAGCCACCCGACTCATGCTGACAGGTGGGACCGCTACGGGCCGGGGGAAGAGGGTAGGAAGTGACCCAGGGCAGGGAGATGGAAAAGCCCCTGAGGGCTCAGCGCATTGCGGGGAGGAGCCCCCGCTGAGCCAGTAGTGGGAGCCACCCTCCACTTATAGGGCCCTGGGTCGGGGCCCGGTGGAGAGGGAGGGCCCGGACCCCCCTACCCCTCCTGTCCTGAACCCCAGCGAGTGGGAGCTTGGCTAAAGGACTAGGCCACAGAGCCTGTGTACTAAGGAGTAGGCCGGTAGGCCGTATTTCCCATAAGACAGGGACAGCGTCACACTGTTGACTCATATTTAACTTGTCGTCCACTATGACCCCCTAAACCAATTTCAACACGACTACTTCTAGACAGTCACTTCCCATTCTGTATGTGTGAAACGGCTTGTTCCTTCCTAAGTGGAGCACTTTGCATTTGTCCTTTTTGAGTTTCATCCTGTTGACCTCAGACCATTTCTCCAGTTTGTCCAGACCATTGTGAATTATAACCCTGTCCTCCAAAGCACTTGCAGCCCCTTCCAGCTTGGTATCATCTGCAAACTTAACAATCGTACTCTCTATGCCAACCATAAATCTTAACGCTCTGTTCTGCTTTCCGGTGTACTCCAAGCTCCCATCTACTTCAGTGGGACTTCGGGGGGCCCAAGGAATCTAGGATCAAATCTCCTTTTTTAAACAATCCCATTTAAAAGTTCGATCCTATGCTCATAGAAGTCAAGGGCAAAGCTCCCACAGACAAGAATGGTGCGGGATGTGGGGATAACAAAACAAGTAATTCTCAATAATAACCAAAAAAACCCCACCCCTATTTCTTTAAATATGTGGTGACAAAAAAGGTTTGGAGACAGATACATTTACAACAAGTTGTATTTTAAGCCCAACCACTTCACACCTTAGTAATAAATTAGACTCAGAATTTATCTTTCACTTTCATTTTTTCCTCTTGTACAGTGCTTTTTAAAAAACCCTAGAAATAAATTTGTCCGACCACGTTAGTTAAAAAAGGAGTTTTCATTTATTGTACCTCACAGCTGCGTATTCAGTCTGGAACAGAAAAAGATGATACTAGATATTAATAGTTTTAATGTGAATCTATAATGTCATACATTTAGCCAATACCATTTTTTAGGTAACAAGACAGGAAACCAAATTCAGTTCTTACTCTCAGTGATATAAAAGTAAAGCAATTCCTCTGAAATCAATGGAGTTACTTCATGTGTAGAGTGTAGAACTTTTTGTAGAGGTGTTTTATAGACAAGAGGTTCGATTCAGATCTAATCTACACTGGAGTAAATCCCCACTAACTTCATTGAAGTCGGTGGGGTATTACTAATGACAGAAAAGCGTGACCCTAAAGATTGCAGTAGTAACCACGAATTAAATTTTCATCTGAGTTACTGCAGGACAGTCCATGGGACTGGACTAGTATCGGGGCATCTGCTACAAGAATCTGTCCTTAGAGCCATCCCATTCTAAATTCCTATCTTCACTTTTCGCAAAATTCCTAGAAGGATTAAACGTTTTAATGCTAGACTGGGCCTCAGTGTGATTTAAAAAAAAAAAGTTTGCCGGCCACCAATTTCCCTGCTTTTGAATTATGAGACACCAGTGAGAATCTGAGTAACTCCTCTAATGCCGATGGGGAGTAATTCTTGATTTATGCCCATGGAACTCAAAGCTACATTTGGATGTGTATAATCATGTGTTCAGATTTTTTTTCTTGGTCCATGTAAAACTCATAAAGAGACCTATCAATGGGTAACCCCCTTAGCCTGGTGGTAACATATTTGAAACCTTTCTAGTCCGGCACTTCCTGGTCCGGGTAAATCCATGGTCCGGCATGATTGTAGTTAGCTAGATGTTCACTTATTGTGACTGTGGCCAAGTTTTCTGCATTCCCATAAAGTTTGTTTACAGCCACCAGTCCTGACTTTCATGATTCTGTGCTGTTCTTTAGCTCTAATTTATCCCAACATGTCTTCTGAGAGCCCAGTAAGTGCTGGTAATCAAGAGCAGCACTAGACGAGCTGCAGGTAACTGGCGCCCTAGGCGAAACGTGCGATCAGTGCGTGATCGGCGCCCCCGCCTCCAAAGCCTCAATGGCCATTTATCTTGGCACTCTCGGCGACTGCCTAGTTCACCTGTATTGATGGGCTGCCACTGTTAGTAATGCTACAAGATATATTGACCTGTAGTCTAGCAAATTCTCTGGTTCAGCACTGATCAGCTCCTGAGAGTGCCGGACTAAAGAGGTACAACCTATACAATAGCAATTCTACACTGGCAACCCAACAAAGTATAAAAAACAATGAGGCTGTGTCTACACTGGCAAGTTTTTCCAGAAAATCATCTGATTTTCCGGAAAAACTTGCCAGCTGTCTACACTGGCCGCTTGAATTTCCGCAAAAGCACTGACGATCTAATGTAAAATCATCAGTGCTTTTCTGGAAAAACTATGCTGCTCCCGTTCAGGCAAAAGTCCAGAAAAACTATGCTGCTCCAGTTTGGGCAAAAGTATTTTTCCGGAAAACTGTTCTGGAAAAGGGCCAGTGTAGACAGCACAGTAGTGTTTTCCGCAAAAAAGCCCCCGATCGCGAAAATGACGATGGGGGCTTTTTTGCGGAAAAGCGCGTCTAGATTGGCCATGGACACTTTTCTGGAAAAAGTGCTTTTCCGGAAAAGCGTCCTGCCAATCTAGACGTGCTTTTCCGAAAATGCTTTTAACGGAAAACTTTTCCGTTAAAAGCATTTCCGGAAAATCATGCCAGTCTAGACGTAGCCTGAGTGGTCCTGTAGCATCGTAAGACCTGACAGAAGAATGAGCTTTCATGGGCACAACCCATCTCTTCATCTGAACGTTTTTTTAAGATAGAAACTCACAGGGCTACCCCTCGGAAATGACTTTAGACACCAGTTCTGGGATTTGCCCAGGATAACTAGTAAAATACCCTGCCAATCGGTTGTATCTTTCTGACATGCCTGTGGCTGAAAAAAACTTTACCTGTGGAATCTGCCTCATGGGTATTTGGTTCCCTTTTTTCACAGCTACCCCTGCTGGAGAAGAAGGAAAGGACGGTTACAAGACATGCGGTGAAGGGCTGCTGTGTAGGAGGTAGGGTTATGAACCAGTTACCTCTGGTGAGACGCTTCCTGAAGAGCAGGACCATCAGCTGGATGATGACAAGGATGAAAATACAAAGCAGGCCAAAATATAACACATAATCGCAGTATTCTTTTCCAGGCTCATCTGCAGAGAGAGGAGAATAACGTTCGGTGCTGAGCAGTGGGAAAATACCATAAAAAGACGTGGGGTCCGTGTTGTATGAATGCCATGCCCGGAAGTGAGGCCTTTCCTCCAGAATCCACCGCCTCAAGGCATTGTCAGTCTCCCTGCCTTTGGGGGGCCAGTTGACTGTTTGGTGCGGGATTCAGGCCATTGGTCACCTGAGGTAAGCTAAGTGTGTGTATTTATTAATTCTGCCTGCCTGCACTGTCAATTATTTTACTACAAGTTGTGATTTATTTCAGCTTGACAATCATGGATCCAGTCTGAGAATCGCTGTCCCACTGAGGTCTGTGGTGAGTTAAGCAGACTTAGAATGAAAATCGTTTTAGGAAACATCGTAGCATCATAAATGTTAGCGAGAGCAAAGACCTGTTATAGGTCTCACGAAGTTCACTTCCCTGCCTAGTCCCTAAAGTTTAACCCATTTTGGGTTGGGGGCTATTGACACACAGAAAAATTGGTCGTGGCCACACAAAAATGAGAAGCAAAGCACAACGAAAACAAAATAATAATTGACATGGCTCCAGACTGAGAATCAGAAAGAGTCCCCCCAAATTCTCCTTGCATAGCAGAGCCTACTGAGGCCCAGGCTAGTAGATTTTGTGGAGAAATCTTTCAGGCAGGGCTTTGTTGTGCGAGCTGGGGGGCAGGGAGAGCAGCAATGCATGGCGCCACTTCCTCCCCGCTACAGACAGAGCCATGGATGGGAACTGGCTCTGGCTTGCCTGAGGCTCAGGGCTCTTCCCCCACAGTGGGGAGCCTGCACTGGTGCTTTAGCCCCATGGGGAGAGGTGTGGGGGCAGGTGCCAGCCGGGGGCCCTTCAGGCAGTGCCATGGATAGGAACTAGCTCTGGCTTGCCTGAGTCCAGCTGGTGAGGCTCAGGGCCCTTCCCACACAGTGGGGAGCCCGCGCTGGCACTCTAGCCCCATGGGGAGAGGTGTGGGGGCAGGACGGTGTGGGGTTAGAGCGGCCCCATGAGCTCCCAATGCTGGGGGGCAGAGCCAGATCCTTGGGGGATGGTGATAGATCCAGGCAAGCCTTTGGGTTCCCCACTTTTGGTTTAACCACTAAGCTTTATCCAGTCCTACTGTAAACAGGGCTTCATCCCTGTCAGGTGACAGACACTCCCACAACTCAGGAGATCTCACTACCAGGAATCCTGGGTATTCGTCCTCTATTTATTTATTTATTTGCTCAGTTCGCTCCCATTATTCTGTTTCATCTCTGAGCCCCCAAATAACCCTCCTCTCTCCGTGGCATTTATACTCCTCCTACTCTTGGTGTGATAAGGCCAGACAAAAGACTGAGTCAAGCCAATAAAAAATTTTCCACTGACTTCGATAGGGTTTCAAGCAGGCCTGCAAGGAGAAACATCTTGGGGCAGGTGTGCCACAGCCCCCCATCTTACCGCTGCTCAGCGAATACAGCTGAAAAATGGTTTTTAGAGAGAGTGAGGAAAGGCAGGGGACAGGGAGTTACCGTAATAGGCTGTCTCAATTCGCTGCGGTAGCCAAGAGCCAGGATATTAGATATGGGTGAGGTAATATCTCCTCCTGAGCTAACTTCTGTGTGAGAGAAAGACAAGCTTTTGAGCTACACAGACCTGAAGAAGAGGTTTGAGTAGCTCGGCCTTGTCCAATAAAAGATAAAACCTGATCCACCGTGTCTCTCATACAAGTCAAGCCGTCTAGGTCAGTGTTTCTTAAACTATACTCTGCAGAACACTGGTGTTCTGCGAACGACTCGCAGGTGTGCCACGACCTCTTCTTTGGTTCTGGTACTTCTTTGTTTTTGTCTTTTCTTGTCTGACAAAACATTTTTTTTGAGGAACATTTTTATAGGTGTTCTGCACAAAAAGACATTATTGTCTGGTGTTCCGTGGTCTCAAAAAATTTAAGAAACACTGTTTAGATGGGTATTTTTTATACCTAGTCCACACTCATTTGAGTTCTTTGGCCCTGTAGTAACCCTTTAAATCGGTATATTTGTACTGACTTGAGATGAATTTTGCACCAGACACCATGGCAATGAGCACAGTGTAAATGAGAGAACAGGTTAGATAGGGTACGATACGGGACCTGTTTGCTTGGCAATGGTAACACTGAAGTTTCTCCCCGTGCTGTTGTCTTTGACTGTCAAAGTCCAGATTGTCTCCTGATTCCATGTCTCATATGGGATTGTCGTTAGGCTCCAGACGCTGTAGATCCCATCCCCGTCTATGGCTCCAGAATCTGCCTGGCCCTCCAATGCCCCTTCCCCTGTGTCCCAGAGAACGTTGCTCCAGGCAGGAGTGGAATCCGAGAGCAGGCAGAGCAGGGGCACGTCCTGGGGTGGTTCAGCATCCTCCTGGGTGGAGGGCACCAGGACGGAAAGTCTTGGTTCAGAGGCATCTAAAAGAGCCAGAAAGAAGATATTAGAAAGGCCTGCCAGTGATAGCTTAGCTAGTCCCTCTTCCCCCAACACTAGCCCCTGACCACAGATCAGTTATCTTGTGCATTGGCTAGTCTAGTCTCCATTTTTTAATTAATAGGGCTTCTCTTGCATGAAGGCGGAGTTCTCTTATTAATTTCATCCTATCACACTCCTTTGTCCACCGCTCCTGGATGGTCTGAGTTCTGGGTGCCTGTTGAGGGCAGAGACTCAAAAATCAGACCCCTCTTTACTGCGTCCTAGTCACATTTTCAACTCCTGCTGCCCTGTTCGAGGTTTCCCTGTGGAAGCCACTTGGTGGCAATCATTTCAAGAAGGGCAATGAAAGTCTCGTAAAGAGCTAGATTAATACAGGCGCATAAGGCCAGCAGGAAGACGCATCACGCCCCAGACTCAGGCGGCTGTGACGATGCACAACCAGGGAGCACGAGTAGCAGAAGGCCGGAGAAGAATAATGACTCACAAAAACATGCCTCTCAACAGTGGATAGACCTCAAAGCACTCTGCAAAGGTGAGTGCGATTCATCACCCCCTTTTATTTGCGGCCTGCTGGGTGACCAGCGCTGCAGGTTAAAGTATAGATTTCCTGATTCACAGTCTCATACGACATCCACTACCGGGATCATTTTCCCTCTCGGCATGAACGCTGATGACTCAGAACCAAAATGGGGCTTTAAGTGGTTGGTGGGTAAGAGTCCAAGGTTCTGTCTTGGCACCAGGGCTATAGCCAGGATGGGGCAGCCATCCAGTGCACAGAGATGCAGAGGGCGGAAAAATGGGCAGAAAGGAAAGATCAGATAAGAACATAAGAACGACCATACTGGGTCAGACCAAAGGTCCATCCAGCCCGGTATCCTGTCTGCTGACAGTGGCCAATGCCAGGTGCCCAAGAGGGAGTGAACCGAACATGTAATGATCAGTGATCTCTCTTCTTCCATCCATTTCCACCCTCTGACAAACAGAAGCTAGGGACACCATTCCTTACCCATCCTGGCTCATAGCCATTAATGGACTTAACCTCAGTGAATGTATCTAGTTCTCTTTTAAACGCTGTTTTAGTCCTAGCCTTCACAACCTCCTGAGGCAAGGAGTTCCAGAGGTTGACTGTGTGCTGAGTGAAGAAAAACTTCCTTTTATTTGTTTTAAACCCGCTGCCCATTCATTTCATTTGGTGACCCCTAGTTCTTATATTATGGGAACAAGTAAATAACTTTTCCTTATTCACTCATGATTTTATAGACCTCTATCATATCCCTCCTGCTTTTCCGGAAAAGCAATGACGATCTACTGTAAAATTGTCAGTGTTTTTCCGGAAAAACTATGCTGCTCCCATTCGGGCAAAAGTCCTTTTCCGGAAAAACTGTTCTGGAAAAGGGCCAGTGTAGACAGCACAGTAGTCTTTTCCGCAAAAAAGCCCCGATCACGAAAATGACGATCGGGGCTTTTTTCTGGAAAAGCGCGTCTACATTGGCCATGGACGCTTTTCCGGAAAAAGTGCTTTTCCAGAAAAGCATCCTGCCAATGTAGACATGCTTTTTCCAGAAATACTTATAACGGAAAACTGTTCTGTTTTAAGCATTTCCGGAAAAGGGTGCCAGTGTAGATGTAGCCCAAGTCTCTTTAATCTCTCCTCTTATGGGGCCTGTTCCAAACCCCTCATCATGTTAGTTGCCCTTCCCTGAACCTCTTCTAATGCCAATATATCTTTTTTGAGATGAGGAGACCACATCTGTATGCAGTATTCAAGATGTGGGTGTATAATTTATGTAAGGGCAATAAGATATTCTCCGTCTTATTCTCTATCCATTTTTTAAGGTTTCCTAACATCCTGTTTGCTTTTTTGACTGTCGCTGCACACTGCGTGGATTGGTGGATGTCTTCAGATACTCCAAGATCTCTTTCCTGATTAGTTGTAGCTGAATTAGCCCCTATCGTATTGCATGTATAGTTGGGGTTATTCTTTCCAATATGCATTACTTTACATTTATCCACATTAAATTTCATTTGCCATTTTGTTGCCCAATCAGTTAGTTTGGTGAGATCTTTTTGAAGTTCTTCACACTCTGCTTTGGTCTTAACTACCTTTAGCAGTTTAGTATAGTCTGCAAACTTTACCACCTCACCGTTTACCCCTTTCTCCAGATCAGTGTTTCCCAAACTGTGGTCTGGAGCCCAATACTGGTCCTTAGGAAAAAAATACTGGGCCTCAGAAAAATGTTCCTGAGAGCCCGCCTCGCTGCCCGCAACCCCCAAGATGAATGCCACGCTGAACTCCTAGTGTCAACGGAGGTAGCAGAGGCTTCCTGTGGGATCAGGGGGCAGTTCTGCAGCTGTGCACCAGGTCCCAGAAGTGTGTGTGCTGCTTTCTCTCCTGCCCCAACAGCCAGTGCAGTACCTAAAATGCTGGTCTATCACACACTGGGGACTTTGTTCCCCTGCTGCCTTCCTGCGCACGGGGCAGTGGGTGGGGATCAGGGACTGCACGCTCAGGCAGCACGCGCTGATGTGGGGAGCGGAGGAGCAAAGCGCACGCTGCTTGAGCAGTTGGAGCTGGCATGGTCCAGGATTCCTCCTCCCTCCCGCTGTGCAGGAAAGCAGCAGGCACACGACAAACGGATCAGTGTGGTACCATGCTGCTGTTTGGAGGACGGGGGAGCAGCCCGCATACCTCCTGGCCCTGGGCAGCTACAGAATCCCCATGTATCGGTCTCTGTCCCCATTCCACCCCCCCAGACCCTCACAAGTACTCTGCCCCAGCACCCCCAAGCACCCTGTCCCTTGCCCTAGCACCCGCAAGTGCCCTGTCCCCTGCCCCAGCATTCATTGGCACCCTTCCCCAGAACTCTGTCCCAGCACCCACAAGCACAGTTGGGGTCACATTAGTGAAGTTTGAGGGGCTGTGTTTTTATATCTCACTTGTGTGGCCCCGATTGACTTTTCTGTGGGCTAAAGTTGGCTCTGGCTGCTTTGGGAGGACCAGAAACTATTTATTTGCATATTCTTCACTTGCTTAATGAATATGCAAATAAATGTTACTGGTCCTCCAAAAGCTCGTGAATGGATTTATTGGTCCCCAGTATGAAAAAGTTTGGGAATCTCTGCTCCAGATCACTGATGAATAAGTTGAATAGGATTGGTCCTAGGACTGACCCTTAGGGAACACCACTAGTTACCCCTCTCCATTCTGAAAATTTACCATTTATTCCTACTGTTTGTTTCCTGTCTTTTAACCAGTTCTCAGTCCATGAAAGGGTCTTCCTTCTTATCCCATAACAACTTAATTTATGTAAGAGCTTTTGGTGAGGGAACTTGTCAAAGGCTTTCTGGAAATCTAAGTACACTATGTCTTCTGGATCCCCCTTGTCCACATGTTTGTTGACCCCTTCAAAGAACTCTAAGGATATGTCTACACTTGCCCCCTTCTTCGAAGTAGGGAGGCAAATGAAGCATACCGAAGTTGCAAATCAAGCCTGGGATTTAAATATCCCGCGCTTGATTTGCATGTTCCCGTCCGGTTGCCATTTTAGAAATTCACTAGCCCGGAGTAACTGCCCGCGTCTACACGCGGCAGTGAAATGGGAGTCTGATTTAAAGCCCTAACTCGAATTAGCTGGTATTCCTCCTGCAATGAGGTTTACCAGCTAATTCAAACTAGGGGCCGTTTCACTGCCGCATGTAGACGCGGGCAGTTACTCTGGGCTAGAGAATTTCTAAAATCGCGACCAGCCGGGAACCTGC